CACCTGCCCCTTCCCCCCATCTGCCTCCTCCCCCACCTGCCCCCTCCCCCAGAACAGGGGGGCTTCCAGCAATTCTCTTTCCTTGGCTCCTTCCCACCGGCGCCCCCAGGACCTTCAGGGAGGCACGGCTCTGCCATCTCTCCGCCAGGGGGTGGGTGTTGCTCTGCGTGGATGGGTGAGCTTTGCCAGACGAGGAGGGTGGGCCTGTTGGACCGGGGACCTGGTTTTGCACACCCGTCCCCTTTTCTCTCCACAAGGAGGCCTCGCATGCTTCCTCTTCCTCCCTGTCAGCTCCCTTAGCGGTGTCCAGACCCAGTGCCTTCCTCTAAGTCTAACCAAGTTGCTCAGATCAGCTGGCGTTTAATGACACCGACTGTGTGCCTTGCTCTGTGCAAAGCCCTCCTACGATTTTTAACACATAGAGTCCTCTGAGCGGCCCACTGAGGCAGGTGTTAGCACTATGACCCGCCCTTACACAGATGAGGAATTCAAGCACAGAGAGGTCAAGTCTCCAGCCCGAGATCACACAGCCAGTATGTGGCGGAGCTGGGATTTGAACCCAGGATATCGAGTCCCCGAGCCTCGGCTCTTAGCTGTGCTGTAAGAGCTTAATAAGGGATCATTATCATTTTGATGATAACTGTAAGTGTGGGAGGGAGCGTTGACACCTGGGTAGAAAAATGCTATATCTGAGCCCCCACCACACGCCAGGTCCTGCCTGAATGCAGACGATCTGGTGGAGCCCAGTGACCCTCATCGCCGGGGACAGCAGGGCAGCAGATTGGGCCCCGGCTGCAGGGTCCTGAGAAACCGGGCATGATGCGATCGCCGAAGCTGAGTGGGTGATTCTCACTTGCTGAAGTGACACCATCAAGTGACAATCGAGAAACAGTTGCCGTGAAATCGGGCCTTTCTAAAAACATGCTTCATGTGAAGGCAGATTGCCTTATCTCACACATTGCACAGGAAAGCCAGACTCCATTCCATTTTTTAGAAATGTTTCATTGATTTTTTTATTTTTTTAGAGAGAAAGGAGGGGAGAGAGAGAGAGAGAAGCATTGATCAACTGCCTCCCTCCCACATATCCCCCATTGGAGATCAAACCTGCAACCTGAGCATGTGTCCTGACCAGGGAATCGAACCGGCAACCTCTCGGTGGCCTGGGACAACGCTCAACCGACTGTGCCACACCCACCAGGGCTCTATTCCATTTTTTAAAAAATATATTTTTTAATTGATTTCAGAGAGGAAGGGAGAGGGAGAGAGAGATAGAAACATCAATGATGAGAGAGAATCACTGATCAGCTGCCTCCTGCACACCCCCTGCTGGGGATCGAGCCCACAACCCGGGCATGTGCCCTTGACCGGAATCGAACCCGGGCCCCTTCAGTCTGCAGGCCGATGCTCTATCCACTGAGCCAAACCAGCAAGGGCCCTATTCCATGTTTACTGTGACTCTGTTTGGTGTTCCTAACAATGCAGCGGTGCTGTGTTTGCGGCTACCCTTTTCCTTCTCTGTGACTTGGTTTCCTCATCTGTAAAATGGGAGCGACTCTCTCTGTCTTATGAAAAAGCCAGAGGAGGTAGTGTTTTTGAACAGCACCCGCAGAGGACACGTGCTCAGTAAGCATTTGCTGTTCTCGTCATATCTGCCCATAGGGAAAACGGAGAGCTTAGTCCTTGAGGAGAAGAGGGGTTGGAGGTCAGGGTTTGAGAGGACTCACACTGCCTGGGTTTAAGTCCCGGACCTGCAGTTTCTAAGCTGTGTGGCCTGGGGCGCAGTTTCCCCCTTTTCCCGAGCCTCAGTTTGCCCGCCAGTCCAGTGGGGCTGGGACTCCCTACCCTACCTGCTGTGTGAGGTGTTTCATATGTAAAGTGCCACGCCCTATAAATAATAAGACCCTTCACCTTTGGCCAGCCTGGTGCCCCCAGACTGACCCCCGGTTCCCTCCTCACCCTGCATCTGATTTCCTCTTCCCACAGTGGAGGGCATCGTGGGGCTGGAGCAGGTGAGCAGCCTGGGGGATGGCCCCCCGGGTGGCCGCCCCCGCCGGGGCATGTTCCGGACCGTGGGACAGCTCTACAAGGAGTCCCTGAGCCGCCTCATGGCCACACTCAGCAACACCAACCCCAGCTTCGTCCGCTGCATTGTCCCCAACCATGAGAAGCGGGTGAGTGACTGGGCCGGGACCGGGACCGGGGAGGCTCTGGCAACGGGTAAAGGCCTGGCTGCTGGAGCCACATCTGTCCCGGGCTCACCTCTGACCAGATGTGTGACCTTGAGGGACTCGCTCCCCTCCCAGAATGAGTGCCCTGTTCAGGAAATTTCACTGGTTCGTGGGACTTAAATTTTATTGAGCACCTATTACGTGCCAGGTACTAGGGGTACACTGGAGAGAAGCACAGTCAACCCCTAGTCCCACAGTCTAATGCAGAACACAGATGTGCAACTAACCACCCACAGTGAATGTCTGGTTGAATTTGTAAGGGTGGTAAGCACCGCATAAGGCTTGTTCTGCTCGGTGAATTCAGGGAGGGCTCCCTGGAGGAGGTGACAACGGAACTCTGAAGGGTAAATGGTATTCTGAGCAGAGAATAGCTTGTGCAAAGGTCCAGTGGTAGGTCAGAGCATGGAAGGTACAAGGGATGGAAAGATGGCCTTTGGGGCTGGGGATGGCATGTAGATTTGGGGAGATCATCTCTGGCCTCCCAGGGCACTGAACTTTTTTTTTCAATTGGGAAAATCAAAGAGCAGGCCCACAGAGAAGGGAAAATGAGGCCACAAAGTTAGGAGCTGAGGCTTACACTGCCCTTAAAAGGCAGCTGTGGTTACTGGGCGGGTGGGTGTCCTTTCTCAGGTCTGCAGACACTATATTTTATCAAATCTAAGATGCATTTATTTCTGACACTTTAGTGTCTCTGAAGTGGGGATGTGGCTATTCATCAATAGCTTGTCAGAGTGTTGTGTGTTTTTTTTTAATTTTATTGTTGCTTGTCAGAGTTTAATTGCTTTCTTGGCGGTATATAAAATAGCAGTGTGTCTTACTATTGGTGGTGGCTTATATTTGATGAAATGTAACAGACACAGCCATTTCTTCAAGAAGCCCTGGTGCTTTTTAGTGGAGAATGGTGCTTAGAGTCAAAGATCGATCTGGGTGCTAGGTGTGCTCAATGGTGTTAGGGTGTCAATCCTGGGACACGCCGGTAGGGCAACATACTGTTTAGATTTTTACCAAAAATAATGATGTATGAGATTTGTTCACACAGCACCTTGGCTGACTATCCTATGTGCTAATTCAGCCCTCCCTACTCTCCCCCCTCCTGTTCTGTTCTACTTAATACTTATTGCTATTTGTTTATTTCATTTATTAGGGATTTTGCCACCACATTTACCGCGTTTCTCCCCCGGGACTGTGAGCTCCCACAGGGCAGGGATTTCCGCCTGGCACGTAGTAGGTGCTCAGTAAATTATAGATCAAACCACACGAAATTGCCAACCATTGTTGACCAGGCTGTCGGCCAATGAATGGCGCTCCCGTGCGGCCGCTGCTGACCCTGCGTCCGCCTTGCTCTCCACAGGCCGGGAAGCTGGAGCCGCGGCTGGTGCTGGACCAGCTGCGCTGTAACGGCGTCCTGGAGGGCATCCGCATCTGTCGCCAAGGCTTCCCCAACCGCATCCTCTTCCAGGAGTTCCGGCAGCGGTGAGCGGAGTGAGGGTGGGGGGAGAGGGCTCGGGTCTGGAAGCCACCATCCCTGCATCCAAAACCTACCCCCAGGATAAATTCAATCAAATTTAACGAAACTTCCCAATATCAGAGAGGAAGGGAGAGGGAGAGAGAGATAGAAATATCAATGATGAGAGAGAATCATTGATCTGCTGCCTCCTGCACTACTGGGAATCGAGCCCACAACCCGGGCATGTGCCCTTGACCAGAATCGAACCCAGGACCCTTCAGTCCACAGGCAGATGCTCTATCCACTGAGCCACACCAGCTAAAGCCCACGGCTACTTCTGAGCCCGGACCCCGGGGAAGCTCCTGAGGTTTGCTGAGCCTCAGTCTTCTCCTCTGTGGTGTGGGCAAGCAGTACCCACTCAGTGCGCTCCCAGAGGAAAAGGGCATAGAGCGTCACATGGCAATCAATGCGTCGTAATTGGCATTTCTTTATTTTTTTGTTTGTTTGTTTTGTTAATCCTCACCCGAGGCTATTTTTCCATTGATCTTTTAGAGAGAGTGGAAGAGAGAGGGAAAGACAGAGAGAAATGTCAGTGTGAGAGAAACGCATTCATTGGTTGCCCCCTGCACACGCCCTGACCAGGGCCCGGGCCAGGGAGGATCCTGCAACCGAGGTGCGTGCCCTCGGCCGGAATCAAACCCGGGGCCCTTCGGTCTGCCGGCCGATGCTCTATCTGCTGAGCCAAACCAGCTAGGCTATTTTTTATTTTTTAAATATATTTTTATTGATTTCAGAGAAGGGAGAGGGAGAGAGATAGAAACATCAATGATGAAAAGAATCATTCATCGGCTGCCTCCTGCACACCCCACCCCGGGCACATGCCCTGACTGGAAGTGGAACTGTGACCTCCTGGTTCATAGGACGACGCTCAACCACTGAGCCATGCTGGTCGGGCTGCTTCAGTTTTTAAATTTAAATTTCAGTTCGTGAAAACTAAATACATTTAGTTAGTCTTGGGTCAAAACAGCGAGCCAGCATCAAGCCGGTGGCTGGAGGGGCCTGGAAAATGGTATTACAGTGCTGCGGGATCCCACAAACTGAGGTTAATGAGAGAGATACACTACATGTGTATGAGGATGTGAAAGAAGCCGTAGGCAGGCTTCCTGCGAACGTGTGTGACGACAGGGTGTTTCGTGTTAAGCGAGCAAGGGCCTGCCCACAGATCTCCTAAAGTGGACAGGACGTGAGGAGGGTGCACGTGCCTCGCACCGTACCTGAAAGAGGTTGTTCAGGAAAGGAGAGAAAGAGGAGAACGGGCGAGTCAGCAATCATGCAGTCGAAATCTGTGGGCGCATCTGTCGTCAGAATGTTAATTTTGTTGGTTAAACCTGAAATGTACAATTCAGAACCATCTGGGTTTCCACTATATTACTTTAAATAAATGTCTATTATAACAAAACAAAAAAAGAAAGTTAAATGCAATTAAAAATCTAGCTCAGTTGGCCCTGGACGATGACTAGGCTGGCAATCATGCAGTCGAAATCTGTGGGCGCATCTGTCGTCAGAATGTTAATTTTGTTGGTTAAACCTGAAATGTACAATTCAGAACCATCTGGGTTTCCACTATATTACTTTAAATAAATGTCTATTATAACAAAACAAAAAAAGAAAGTTAAATGCAGTTAAAAATCTAGCTCAATTGGCCCTGGGCGGTGGCTAGGCTGGCTGGAGCATCGTCCCGTACACCCAAAGGTTGTGGGTTCGATTCCCGCCAGGGCACATGCCTAGGCACGCACATACAAGTTTCTCAATCACCAACCATAAAATAATGTATATAGTTATTTTTAAAGGATTCTTTTTTTTTAAAAAATGTGTTTTTAAAATTGATTTTAGAGAGAGAGGAAAGGAGAGTGAGAGGGAGAGAGAAACATCGATGGGCTTCCTCCTGCACTCCTCCTGTCAGAAATCAAGCCCAAAACCCGGGCATGTGCCCTGACCAGAAATCGAACCAGCGACCTCTCAGTGCACAGGATGATACTCAATCAACTGAGCCACACCGGCCAGGGCAAGATAATGTACATTATATGACATATAAATGTGAACATACTTGTATACATATTATATATATATATATGTATATATATATATATATAATATATACATTATTTTATAGGAAATGCTGAGGGTACGGCAGGGGAGAGGCACTGAGAACAGACACGTATATGTTTATAAAATGTATTTTTAAAATTCAGAGTTCACTCAGAAATTTGAAAGAAATTGCTGTAAAGCACTTAGCCCAGGGCCTGGCACATAAGAAGTGTAAAAACATCAGCTGGGCCTGTCCGGCGTGGCTCAGGGGTTGAGCATCGACCTATGAACCAGGAGATCACTGTTCGATTCCCAGTCAGGGCACATGCCAGGATTCCAGGCTCGATCCTCAGTGGCAGGGGTGTGCAGGAGGCAGTCGATCAATGGTTCTCTCTCATCATTGGCGTTTCTCTCTCTCTCTCCCTCTCCCCCCTCTCTGAAATCAACAAAAACGCATTTTTAAAGCACCAGCCGCTGTATTTTGTTATTCTCGTCTTCCCGTTCTGAGACCTGCCGCTGTTCCCGTCTCGGTGAACTATGTGGTGATGTAATAAATACTTCAAGCGCCCTAACCGGTTTGGCTCGGTGGATAGAGCGTCGGCCTGCGGACTCAGGGGTCCCGGGTTCGATTCCAGTCAGGGGCATGTACCTTGGTAGCGGGCGCATCCCCAGTGGGGGGTGTGCAGGAGGCAGCTGATGGATGTCTCTCTCTCATCGATGTTTCTGGCTCTCGATCCCTCTCCCTTCCTCTCTGTAAAAAAATCAATAAAATATATTTAAACAAAAATAAATAAAAATAAATAAACACTCCTAGTCCGCACACGGCAGCTGTCCAAGGACTGGGGGCTTTTATTGTCGCTGTGGGCAGCAGCATGAATGCTCGGCCCAGTGTGTGGCTGAGAGCGAGCGTCCATTTTTCTTTCTGTTCTTGTCATTGGTTATTGCTATTTGTCACTCTGAGCCCAGGACCCTCCATGGTGACAGTTGCTGTAACACCCCCCCCACCCCGCCCCACTGTCCCTGCAGGTATGAGATCCTGACGCCCAATGCCATCCCCAAGGGCTTCATGGACGGGAAGCAGGCCTGTGAGAAGATGGTGAGTGAGGGAAGATGTGTGTGTTGCGGGGTGCACATAGTCTGGGGGTGGGGGGTGGGGGCCAGGACCTCCCCTGTAATTGCATCTTCTCCGATCACCCCCTCCCGCCACAGATCCAAGCCCTAGAACTGGACCCCAACCTCTACCGCGTGGGACAGAGTAAGATTTTCTTCCGGGCGGGGGTCCTGGCCCAGCTGGAGGAGGAGCGGGACCTGAAGGTCACGGACATCATCGTGTCCTTCCAGGCGGCTGCCCGGGGGTACCTGGCTCGCAGGTGGGGCCCCAGGCTGTCTGCTGCGGTCCCCTTGGCTGAGGCTGGCAGGGAGGGGTTGACCAGGTGGCCCCCGGTGTCAAGGCCTCCGAGATGGTGGAGGGGCTGAGAGACAGAGGGAGGGAGCCACCAGGTCCTGCGGCCCCTGTGGGCCTGGCCAGTGCTGAGCGATGCTAGAGGCACCACGAAGAGCTAGACTCTGTCATCAGTGACCAGCCTGGCGCTGGCGGGGCCCCGGGGGCACGGGTTCCAGTGCTAACACAGAGAAAGCGCCGGGGAAACTAGGTCAAGGTGGTCACCCTACCGGCCTCAAGGGTGAGGGACTGCCGTCTGGAGGGGCAGACAACACAGGCACAAGCGTCATGGCTGTGCTTTGATGGGGTCCTATGCGTGCAGGGGAGGCCCTGACCACCAGGGAGTCCCAGGTCACACTTGACAACCAGGTAGACCGAGGCGGTGGGAAAGGTGTTCCAGGCTCGGAAGCGAGCAGGAAGTCTGCAGGAGCGTCTCCTTCCCCCCCAGACCTGGTCCAGACGAAGGATCAGCAAATACAGGGCCCCCAAACCCCAGGCTGAGGGGCGGGGACCCTGTTTAGGGTGCAGGAGGGCTGTGAGAAGGGGGGAGGGTGTAGAAAGACCCCCTGGAGACGCGTTAGGATGGACTGGAGGCCGGGAGGCTGGGGAGGAGGCTGGGTGAGGGTCCCGGTGGGTGAAGGTGAGGCCTGCATTGGGGTTGGGGTTACGGAGGCAGAGGAGGGGACAGGACAGAGAAGGTCAAGGGCAGGAGGGCCAATGACAGAATGGTGCTTGCACACAGTAGGCATTTAATCATGGTTGATGAGCCGATGGGAGCTCTCAGGGCCTGGAGGGGCTGAGCCCCCCTCCCATGTGCCCATCCGTCCGTAAGTCCGTCTCCCCGCACAGGGCCTTCCAGAAGCGGCAGCAGCAGCAGAGCGCGCTGCGGGTGATGCAGCGGAACTGCGCGGCTTACCTCAAGCTGCGACACTGGCAGTGGTGGCGGCTCTTCACCAAGGTGAGGGCACCCGGGAGGTGGCCTGAGCGGCAAGGAGTCAGGACCGTGGGGGCAGGGCTGCTGGGCCTCAGTTGGCTGCATCTGTAAAATGGGACCCATCAGCCTGACCTTTGCTCAGCAGGCTCTGTGGGTAGCAAGTGACCCAAAGCCTGACTCCAACCGACGTGGATAAAAGGGCAGGACAGCTTCAGGTGCAGCTGGATCCAGGGCTGGACTAGGGGGTCCTGAAGACTCCTCAGATCCAACGATGCACTGGGAGAACTCAGGGAAATGGCTGCTGGTGATACTCCTGCTCACCCTTTATTTAGGTTAAGGATACAGATTAAAACCAGTAAAGAGGAAAGGCGCACAGGGCCGAGCTCAGGAGAGACCGGGTGTCAGCTTCCAGGTGCCTCCCAGTGGCGTCGTATAGACAGCTCCGGACCTTCCAGAAACGATGCGTGATAACACTCATGGGGAATTTTGCCCACTGGGAAACCTCGCCGAGCCTCAGTGTTCAGGGGTTTTTGGTTTTGTTTTGTTTTGTTTAATGTATTTTGATTGATTTCAGAGAGGAAGGGAGGAGAGAGATAGAAACATCAATGATGAGAGAGAATCATTGATTGGCTGCCTCCTGCATACCCCACACTGGGGATGTGCCCACAACCCAGGCATGTGCCCTTGGCCGGAATCGAACCTGGGACCCTTCAGTCTGCAGGCCGATGCTCTATCCACTGAGCCAAGCCAGCCAGGGCATACCCAGCCTTCTGTCTCCTGCTTGATTGTCTTCTGTGATGGTCACCCGCAGACTTACCCGCCAGGGAGCCACCCACCGACTCAGACTGGCCCCCAGCGAGGCCGGCGTGGGCTTGTCTTATCTCAGAGCTCAGAGTCTGAGCCCGGCTGCAGTCCTGTGACCATCCAGACCACTCACCACACATCAGATGAGCCAGGCCGATTGCCCGTGCCCACCCAAAGCCAAGGGACAGAGCCAGGCCATCTGGGCCCCTGTGAGCTTCGAGCAGGGTGTTCCCCCAAAGGGGAACGGAGAGGAGGCAGGAGGATGGAGATTTGGAGGAGAAAATGCAGCTCTTCAGTGTAATTTTCCATATGACGTTTGAGGTATCAGCCTACATGGCCTCAGCCAGTGTTAACTGAGCACCTACTGTGTGCCAGTAACGTTTTAGGGGACCGTGATAAAATGGAGAATAAAAATAGACAAAGCCCTGCCCTATGGAGCCCTTAGTTCAGGGCAGTGGTTGGCAAACCCACAAGCCAGACGCCTGTTTTTGTAAATGCCTGCTGGGTGGTGTACTGTCTGGGCTGCTTTTGTGTTACAGCAGCAGAGGGAAGTCGTTAAAGCAGAGACAGTGGCCTGCAGAGCCTCAGATATTTCCCGCGCTGGCCCTTTATTTATTGTTATATGTTTGGTGTGTTTTTTTTAGAGAGAGAAAGGAAGGGAGAGGGTAGAGAGATAGAAACATTGATGAAAGAGAAGCATCCATCAGCTGCCTCTTCCACGTGCCTCACTTGGGATCGAGCCCACAACCTGGGCCTGTGCCCTGACGGGAAATTGAACCGTGACCTCCTGGTTCACAGATTGACACTCAACCACCGAGCCACACTGGCCGGGCATTAACTGGCCCTTTAAGAAAACGTTTGCCTACCCTAGGGTGGGGGCTAGGGGTAGGCTTGACCGGCGTCAGTGAGTGAATCCTACAAATAAATATAAAGCTATAGCTGTGATAAATGCTATGGAAGAGAAAATAATAGACTAGAAAAGACTCGAGCAGAGAAGAACCAGGAACCGCTAAGAACCGAATCGGAGGCAATGGAGCAGAAATGGTCAGAGCGAGTCCCACTTGGCAAGGGGAGGGCGATTTGTGAACCCTCATTTGGGTGATGGGTGCGCACCGTGTAAGGTGCGTTTCTCCCCATGGGCCGGGGGCCGAGGACTCTTGAGAAACGCCTGCTGCTGGGTACCAGTGCAAAGGGTTCACTTAGCAAAAAGGAAACACGGACAGGGCTGCTCGCCCTGTTCCCGTACCCGGAAACCCTGCTATGCCCCCCCTCCCCGCCCCCTGTGTAGATGGGACCCTGGCGTGCCTGCCAGGTCCCTCGCTGGCCGGTGGAGGAGCTGGCCTTGCAGCCCAGGAGGCCGGCCCTTATTCAGAGCGTGAGCTCTTGGCTCCCGGGCCAAGCGGCCTCCCGGACACCCCGCCACCTTGACCTCCCGTAGGTGAAGCCGCTGCTGCAGGTCACCCGGCAGGATGAGGTGCTGCAGGCGCGGGCGCAGGAGCTGCAGAAAGTGCAGGAGCTCCAGCAGCAGAGCGCCCGCGAGGTGGGCGAGCTGCAGAGCCGGCTGACACAGGTGAGGGGGCGGGGCTGGGTGGGCGGGGCTTGCTGGAGGGGCGGTGTTATGGGCGGGGCCATGTTACAAGGGGCGGGGCTTTGCTTAGTGGGATGTGCGCGGGGGGCAGGGCTGTGGGGCGAAGCGTAGGATGGGTCACAGCCAAGGTGTATTGGGGCCGAATAGGGGTCGAAACTGTGGTGTGGTTTGAGCCATGCTGTGCAGGATCCTGGGTGTAGCCAGGGCGTTGGGTGGGGGGCTGGTTCCTGCCCGGCTAAGATACTCAGGGGGCGGGGCTCCAGGGCGCCGCGGGGCGGGGCAGGGGACCAGCCGGGTAGCAGGGTTCTGGTAGGCCGGCGGTGGGCTTCTCTTCCTCTCCAGGATATCTGGCATCTTAAAATAATGCTGACGGAAACCTCTGGAGCATTTGTCTGTTTGCTTTTCCTGCACTGCTTCCCTTGGCTAAATTGCTGGGCGTGGGAGTATTAAATGAAATGTGAGGTGGTGGAAGGCTTTCCTGGGGCTGTCTCGCGGGTGGACTGGAGGCGGCGAGGCTGGGGAAGAGGCTGGGGGGATGTCCATAGGGAGAGGACGAGGCCTGAGTGTGTTGGGGCTACAGGGACAGAGAGGAGGGACAGAGCAAAGGGAGTCGGGGGCGGGGGGCAGGAGGGACAGGGCTGGGGACCCATGGGGTCATCCTGAGATGAGAACCTGGGGGAGGAATGGGGTTGGGGGGTGTACCTCAAAGAACAAATCAGGGTGCAGGAGGGACCTGGTGCTCCACTGAGGGCCGTCCTGGGGGCGCTGCCTGCTGACCTCTGACCTCCCACCCCACCCCCAGCTGGAAGAGGAGCGCACCCGCCTGGCAGAGCAGCTTCGAGCAGAGGCAGAGCTGTGCGCTGAGGCCGAGGAGACCCGGGGGCGGCTGGCAGCCCGCAAGCAGGAGCTGGAGCTGGTGGTGTCAGAGCTGGAGGCCCGCGTGGGGGAGGAGGAGGAGTGCAGCCGCCAGCTGCAGCACGAGAAGAAGAGGCTGCAGCAGCACATACAGGTCTGGTCCCTGCAGGCCCCCTCCCCCTCCTCCTCCCGTCTGTCCACCCGGCCTCCCTTTGCTGCTGCAAACAGTGTCTCTTTTGGCCATACATTTGCAGGAAAAAAACCCTCAAAGTGGATCAAGCAGAAAGAACACTTTTTTGGTTTAAATATTGGGAAACTCCAGAATGGATAAGCTTCAGGCATGGCTGGATCCAGGTGCTGAAGTCAGCTCCTCAGTACTCGGCCTCTGTCCATCCGGCTCCATGGGCCTCCGTGCCACTGCATTCCCAGGCAGGCGCCCTCCCGTGGCTGGCCTTCAAAGCCCAGCGCGTAGTTTACGCTTAAGGCACATCTCAGTTCAGGGGCCACGCTTCCATGGGCGACACTTCATCTGCATTTACATCTCATCATTTGTTCAGTTGGGAAAGTTGATTTGCATACCCAGGTTGTTCCAAACATACTTAAAAGTTTTCCAGGGATTGATTGGGTGCCTGACTTTAAATTTAAAATAAACACACTGGCCACGCTAAGAGCTAGGGAGTGGGTTTGTTTTTAAAATATATTTTTATCAATTTTTAATTTATTTTTAATATTTTTATTGTTGTCGATTTTAGAGTGGAAGGGAGTGGGAGCATCATTGATTAGCTGCCTCCTGCATGCTCCCAAGCCCCCCACTGGGAATCAAGCCCACAGCCCGGGCATGGGGACCTCCTGGTCCATGGTCGACGCTCAACCACTGAGCCACAAGGGCCGGGCAAATTCTGGAGTGTTTTGCTTTTTTAAAATATATTTTTATTGATTTCACAGAGAAAGGGAGAGGGAGAGGGAGGGATAGAAACATCAATGATGAGAGAGAATCATGGATCGGCTGCCTCCTGTACGCCCCGCACTGGGGAGTGAGCCTGCAACCCAGGCACATGCCCAGAACCTAATCCGGGACCCTTCAGTCCGCAGGCCGATGCTCTATCCACTGAGCCATACCGGTCAGGGCAGGAGGGTTTGAATTGCCTTCTCCTTACCTGGTTGGTGAGGGTGGGATCCTGCCCTTTGGTTAAGGATTTGGCCTAACAGGCGGGGCAGGCAGCAGGTTATTAGTCAAGAATGCTCACAGCTGAGCGAGCGGAGACCACGCCACAGAGATCCGCGTGGGGGCGCACTGGGGAGGATGAATGAGCCGTGGCCGTGGGAGGCGGGCTTTGTACCAACAAGAGGGCGAGGTGGCCCGGTTCCTGCAGGAAGCAGCGATTGGTTTGTTTGACTAATTCCAGCTGGCATGCGCCTGAGAGTCAGTCTGTGGGGATCAGCAGGCCTGTGCCTGGCCCCTGTCTTACGGAGGGTTCCCTGCTAGGGGTGCTGATCCCAGGAGCAGAGCGGGCAGGCGGTTGGGCCGCTGTAGGCCCCCCCAATTTTACCAGCTGTCAAGGCAGCTCATAATATTGCATCGTAGTTTCTGGTTTCACACCAAGGCCTCCACGTGTGCCGGTCACCGCCGTAGGGGACCGTGCCCATCGACACGATCTGTTTATTTATTATTTATTGATCAAGATCTTCACACACACAACAATGCAGCTTCCACAAGGACGAAGAGGTGTTTTGTTTTGTTTTGTTGATCCTCACCCGAGGGTAATTTTCTCATTGATTTTTAGAGAGAGCGGAAGGGAGGAGGAGAGACACAGAGAGAGAGGCATTTATGTGAGAGAGACACATTGATTGGTTGCCGCCAGCACGTGCCCCGACCTGGGGTCTGGGGGATGAATCCACAACCCGGGTACCCACTCTTGGCTGAGAATCAAACCTGTGACCCTCTGGTACACAGGCTGATGATCTACCATTGGGCTATACTGGCCAGGGCCAATTTTTTTTTATTTATTCAATCGAAAAGTTTTTCAATATTTAGCGACTTACAATAAATGTTTACTCCTGGGCCTTAAGAGAATATTTGGGATTGTACAGACGTGAGGAACAGCCAGGGAAGGACAGGAGGTTTTTAGGTGAGAGGCCAAGATTTAGAACAGAGACTTCTTTCTTCAGCGCCAAATATTTTTTTAGAGAGAGTAAAGGCAAGAGCAAAGAGTAATAGAGGGACATCCATCAGTTGCCTTCTGTACCCACCTTCACCGGGAATCATGAGACCAAGATTTAGAACAGAGACTTCTTTCTTTGGGCCAAATATATTTTTTAGAGAGAGTAAAGGCGAGAGCGAGAGCGATAGAGGGACATCCATCAGTTGCCTCTGTACCCACCTCCACTGGGAATCAAACCCACAACCTTTCGGTGCACGGGATGATGCTCCAACCAACTGAGCCACCCGGTCAGGGCCAGGACAAAGGCTTTTTATCTCTCCTCGGTGCCTAGAACAGTGCCTGGCACACACGAGGCACTCAGTAAATGCTTGTTGAGCTGATGAATGAAACAGACCGGGAAGGGTTTTATCCTTCCCAGCCTCGTGCGGAGTGTGGACCTGTCTGAGCCGCCAGCCCGGGGGTCCATGGACCATCCCCTCCCCACCCTCCCCATCACACCAGCCCCCGGCCCCTGGGTCCTCACTGCCCTCCTCCCACCCCAGGAGCTGGAGACCCACCTGGAGGCCGAGGAGGGGGCCCGGCAGAAGCTGCAGCTGGAGAAGGTGACGACGGAGGCAAAGCTGAAGAAATTTGAGGAAGATCTGCTGCTCCTGGAGGACCAGAACACCAAGCTGAGCAAGGTCGGTGGCCCGGAGCCCCCCACGGGGGGTAAGGGGGGAACGCTGGTGGCGCCTGGGCTCCTCTCTGCCTCTGCCCCCAGCCGGCCCTGCCTCCAGGGTCTTGCTCACTCTCCATCTGGGCTGTGTTTCCCTAGAGCCCTTTCTCTCTCCTCGTCTCCCTTTGTCACTCGGTCACCCAGGCAGCCATGACTGAGCAACGGCCGTGTGTCATCACCTGTCGCTGTGTCACAGGCACCCCAAAGCCGCGTGGCTGGAAACAACACCGTTTCATTGCGTCCCATCGTCCTGGGAGTCGGCTGCCAGGGCCCCCTGTCCGCCTGTGGCCCTCGCGGCGGTCACCGTCACAGGGCGGCCGGGCTGGATGTCCGGTGTCTCCCTGCTCCTGTGTGGCCTCTGTCCCCCCAGCCGAGCTGGAGTGTCTGACACAGCAGCGCGGGGCTCCGGGAGAGGGAGGCAGAGGCAGTGGCCTCCCTCCCATTGAATCCTGTCGCTCAGGTGTCGGCAAACGTTTCCAGATGGTAGACATCTGTGGGCCATTCCGCTTCTGCCACAACCACTCCGTTATTTTATTTATTTTTAAAAATATATATTTTTATTGATTTCAGGGAGAAGGAGAGAGAGGGATAGAAATATCAATGAGAGAGAATCACTGATCGACTGCCTCCTGCACCCCCCAAACTGGGGACCAAGCCTGCAACCCGGGCATGTGCCCTGACTGGGAATCGAACCTTGACCTCCTCATTCATAGCTCATTGCTCAACCACTGAGCCACACCAGCTCGCCAACTCTTTTTTATTTTATTTCAAAATTTGTTGTTTTGAGAGAGAGAGAGAGACATCGATTTGTTGTGCCACTTCTTTGTGCATCCATTGGTTGATTCCTGTACGTGCCCCGACTGGGAATCAAACCCGACACCTTGGCGTGCCAGGACGACACTGTAACCCACTGAGCTACCCGGCCAGGGCACAGCCACTTAATCCCATTATTGTAGCGAGAGAGCAGCCACAGTCCATGCATCACCGAATGGGGGTGGCTGTGTCCCAATGGAGCTTTAGGTGTAAAAGCAGGCGCCGGGCTGCATTTGGCCTGCACACTGGTTTGCAGACCCCTGAGCTTAAAGCAGCCACAGATTCAAGACGGGGGAGTTAGACTCCATGCCGGAGGGGCACACGGGGAAGAATCTGTAACCAGCCACAGCCCGGGCTGCGCTGGGCACGGGGGATATGGCATGGAACTAACTGGAAAGCCATCGCGCCCTCACAGGGGAGAGGGGGCTGCGTCCCCAGAGGAAATCGATGTGATTGCACTTGTGACTTAATTATAAGCTGTGTCGGAACAGGACAGAAAACTGGGGGTGGGCATAGCCTGTTCCCGGCATCAGGGTGACCTGGGAGCTCCGTGGTGCACGGGGGCTTTCTGGAACATGCCTGTATGGATTTCTGCTCACGGTTGAAAAAGTACCGCTCCGGCCTGTGCTTCTCAAACCCCGTGTGGCCCAGAACCCCGTGGGGAGCTGGTGGAAGCAGACTCTGACGGAGCAGGTCCGGGTGGGGCGAGATTCGGCTTCTGAGGCTGACGCTGTGGGTCCGTGATCCCTGCTTCAGGCCCCAGCAAGGGTCCGGCGCCCGCACAGGGATGGGGCAGGCGCGCAGGATGTTGGCCGCAGTGTCGTTTATAAGAGCACGTGATTAGACCCCCAGCCGGTTTGGCTCCGTGGATAGAGGGCCCGCCTGCAGACTGACAGGCCCAGGTTCGATTCCTGTCAGGGGCTCGGACCTCGGTTGCAGGCTCAATCCCTGGCCCTGGCAGAGGCAACCAATCACTGTGTCCCTCTCACATCGATGTTTCTCTCTGTCTCTCCCCCTCCCTCCCACTCTCTCTGGAAATCAGTGGAAAAGTGTCCTCGGATGAAAATTTTAAAAAAAAAGAAAAGAAAAAAAAAGCAAATGATTAGAATCTCCCTCAGGGCCCATCAGGGGCTGGTGGTCAGTGAATGGTGCTGTGTTTCCAGTAATGGACATCTACACTCACCGTGTGGATCGGGGTGGAGAATAGACCTTAGCAAGCATGTCAAACTCAAAGGCTAACACGGGCCAAATAAACAAGGCATGTGGCCTGTGGGCCGCGAGTTTGACATGTTTGCCTTTGAGAATGGAAGGGGGGAAGAGATTGGGGCAGGAGGGCAGGGAAGGATGGAGACAGCAGACCCTCTGATGTCCCCCCCCCCGCCACGCCCTCAGGAGCGGAGGCTGCTGGAGGAGCGGCTGGCCGAGTTCTCCTCCCAGGCCGCCGAGGAGGAGGAGAAGGTCAAGAGCCTCAATAAGCTGCGGCTGAAATACGAGGCGACGATTGCGGACATGGAGGGTGAGCGCCCGCCCACAGTGGGGGCTGTGCACGCGGCCTTGGGGACCTCAGGCCGGCCGCCTGTGCCCCGGGGCCTCAGTGGTTGTATCTGCTAAATGGGGCAGGAAAGAAGGCTGGAGACAGGTTGGGTGTCTTCCCAGCGCTGAGTTTCTGTCTCTCTCAGGGCCATTCTCTTAACAAGGCAGGGTCACTCTCTCTCTCTCTCTCTCTCTCTCTCTGTCCCACCCACTGTTTCAGACATTTTTTTTTTTGTCTCTGTCCCTTGCTATGCACTTGGAATCAGAAGCCAAAGGGGCCAAGCGCAGGAGGTGGCTGGGGAGACAGGAGAGAGGGGAGGGCAGAGAGAGGCAGTGAGCAGGAGCAGGGGCTGCCCTTGGGGGGGGGGGGGATAGTCTGGGGTCTGGCCCAGGGTCTGGGGCGCTCCCCGAGAGGGGGAAGCTGGAAAGAGGAGGCTGAGCTGAGCCTCACACCCCCGACAAGGGAGGGCGGGACCGTGGGTCTCCGTGGGAGCTGCGGCTGTGGGTGTGAAGCCCTCGCACATGGTCCCCGCCCGCCCCCAGACCGCCTGCGGAAGGAGGAGAAGGGCCGCCAGGAGCTGGAGAAGCTGAAGCGGCGGCTGGACGGCGAGAGCTCGGAGCTGCAGGAGCAGATGGTGGAGCAGCAGCAGCGGGTGGAGGAGCTGCGGGCCCAGCTGGGCCGCAAGGAGGAGGAGCTGCAGGCTGCCTTGGCCAGGTGCCCTGGGGAAGGGGGAGGAGCGCTTGGCGGGGCGCCAGGCACACAGCACAGCCTGCCGGTGAGATCCTCCCGGTGCTGTGCCGCCCCCTCTGAGCCTGTGTCCCCTTGTGTAAAACGGCCCAGAGGGTTCCAGCCCCGCCTGCTTAAGGGAAAAGTGAACCGAGGCCCCTGGTGTCTAGTAACTTGCATGGTTCCGGGTCAGAATAGAGGCCAGAAAATGCGTTTTCTTCTCCCCCTACTCCCCTCCCAGCCCCGAGCAGCCCAGAGTCAGTGACTTGATAAGAGGTCTGACCATCTGAGGAATCATAATCATTACGACAGCCATTCACGATAATTGAGCGCCTACTGTGTGCCGGATAGGGCAGTGGGTTTTTCAGATGCTTTTGACCCAATGTGCTTTGTGCAAACTGAGACGCCTTTTTTTTTTTTTAAATATATTTTATTGATTTTTCACAGAGAGGAAGGGAGAGAGATAGAGAGTTAGAAACATCGATGAGAGAGATACATCGATCAGCTGCCTCCTGCACATCTCCTACAGGGAATGTGCCCGCAACCCAGGTACATGCCCTCGACCGGAATCGAACCTGGGACCTTTCAGTCTGCAGGCCGACGCTCTATCCCCTGAGCCAAACCGGTTTTGGCGAGACGCCTTGATTATAGGAGAGATGTGCTTCTTAGAATCGCTGGTACACAGTGTGTGTGTGTGTGTGTGTGTGTGTGTGTGTGTGGTTAAGAACACACAACTGGAGTCTGACTGCTGGGTTCCATTCCTGGCCATGTGACCTCACCCAAGTGACATTACCTCTGTGGCCTCAGTTTCTTCATCTGTAAAATGGGGGTTAATGTAGAATTAAATAAGAAGGTGCTCATCAAACGCTTGGCACACCCTGGGCCCTCGGTGAATGCTGGTGTGTCTGTTAGCACTTTTCATTATTTTATTCCTATGGTCTCCTTATTTTCTCCTTTTTAAAAAATTTTTTTTATTGATTTCAGAGAGGAAGGGAGAGGGAGAGAGAAAAACACCAATGATGAGAGAGAATCATTGATCTGATACCTCCTGCACGCCCCCCACTAGGGATAGAGCCTACAACCCGGGCATGTGCCCTTGACCAGAATCGAACCCGGACCCTACAGTTTGCAGGCCGATGTTCTATCCATTGAGCCAAACCGGCTAGGGTTCCAGAATGTTTTCATCACCCCCAAAAGGAGGCACGGTGCCCACTAAGCTGTCACTCCCATTCCCCCGCCCCCCAGCCCCTGGCACCACCAACTCGCTTTCTGTCCACATAGGACATTCCTATTCTTTTTTTTTAATGTGTTTTTATTGATTTTGAGAGAGAGAAAGGGAGAGGGAGAGAGAGACAGAGAGGGAGAAACATTGATGTGAGAGAGAAACATTGATCGGTTGCCTCCAGCACACACCCTGACCAGGGACAGAACCCGAGATCCAGGCATGTGCCCTGACCCGGAATCGAATTCAGCCAGCCCCCATTCAGTGCACAGGATGATGCCCAATCCACTGAGCCACACCGGCCAGGGCAGACTTTCCTGTTCTTGACAACAGGGATCATACAGCAGGTCGCCTTTTGCACTCCTTGTTTTTGTCGCCATTCCCCGCAGCAACCCTGGGAAGTGTCTGTTCACATCCTCTCACAGGCCAGGGCCTGCCGTTCAGAGAGGCTGTCACTTGCCAGGCAGATGGTGTCCCGGCAGGGGATGCAAACCCATCTGCACAGCCCCGGCCTGCGCTGGCCCTCCATTCAGTTCTCTCTGCAAGAGGCTGTGTCCTTAGGGCTCATGAGGTGGGTCTGTGCGGTCAGCTCTGCCACTCACTGACCGTGTGACCTGGGCAAGGGTTTTCCCTGCCCTGTGCCTCAGTTTCCTCATTTGTCATAAGCACTGAATGAGACCATGGAGTAAAGGGCTTGCATGTGGTAGGAGCTTCATAAATGTCCCTGGGATTACTATCAGCGTCGTTCCCATTTTACAGCTCGGTAAACTGAGGCTGAGTACTGGAGGCACATGCCCAGGGGCAGAGCTGAATTTGAACACAAGATGGGTCACCCCAAAGTCCTCATCTGGCCTTTTCACCCCAAGAAGTCATCCTGCCCCCTGCCTGCTCCTGTGGCTAACTCCTTGGTCCTTGTCTGCCCCCAGGGTGGAGGAGGAGGGCGGGGCCCGCGCCCTGCTGCTCAAATCCCTGCGGGAGGCGCAAGCAGGACTGTCCGAGGCCCAGGAAGACCTGGAGGCCGAGCGCTTGGCCAGGGCCAAGGCCGAGAAGCAGCGGCGGGACCTGGGCGAGGAGCTGGAGGCCCTGCGGGGCGAGCTGGAGGACACGCTGGACTCCACCAATGCCCAGCAGGAGCTCCGGTGAGGCGGGCTGCCCGCGGCCAGCACAGCCTGGGCAGGTGCGGGGCGGGGGAGGGGAGAAGGACTCGCTGAGAATTCTCCATCTACACAGAGATTTAATTCAGCAATTGGTTATTGAGTACAGCTCTGGCCAACCTGGGGTTAGAGATGAGTCACACCCTGGCATTGCCCCCTGGAACTTCCAGTTTTGGGGGGAGGCAGATTTGGGCACAGAACAGACCCAATCCAGGACAAAGCGTGCTCTAATGGAATAGCGTTGCATGATAAGCGAAGGCCCCTAAGGCACATCTGTGGGAGGGAGTTCAGGAAGACTTCCCTGAGAAGGGGCCTTTTGAACAGGGTTTTGAAGGATGAGTGGGAGTTCACCCTTAAAGCCACATTCCTTGCACAGCATCAGTGCCTAGATTCTTTAAGGAATGTAGCGTAAGGTCCCCATCCTTGGAGAGAAAGAATAAAAACAAGCACAACTCGCTATCAGGGGCTCCCCCAAAGTTCTTGCCTTCCTCTGTTCTGAAATTCTGTCCCCTCCCCCTGCCCCAAAGGTCCAAGAGGGAACAGGAGGTGACGGAGTTGAAGAAGGCTCTGGAGGAGGAGACCCGCATTCACGAGATAGCGGTGCAGGAGCTGAGGCAGCGCCATGGCCAGGCGCTGGGAGAGCTGGCGGAACAGCTGGAGCAGGCCCGGAGGGTGAGTTAGGGTAGGAGGGGGGGTTGGGGGGGTAGAGGGTGAGGGCAGTTCTGGGGGCCATGGTGCTGGGTTGGAGGAGGTACTGCTGGCTGGTTCTAGGCCGGCCCATCTGTCCGGGGTTCTTCCCTTACGTATTCATGTCCTCGCTTCCCCCTGCATTCAGCATTCACTGAGCGCACACTGTGTGCCCTAGTACCAGGGATGGTACTAGGCACCCCGCGGTGAACAAAGCAACCAACGCTCCCTCCCCTGTGGGGTGCCTGTTCTGGCAGGAGCAGCAGAGAGCAGACAATATAAACATTCATGATAGCTGTTGGGCTACTAAGTGCTGTGGGAAAACGAGGGCCCAGAAGAGGGGATCAGGTGCCAGGTGGGCGGTTTGTGATTTTAAGCAGAACCTTGGAGGGACTGGGTGAGAAGGGGACATCGAATGAAGAAACTGAGGGAGGTGCCTGGCCACGGTGGCTCAGTGGTTGACCTATGACCCAGTAGGTCACGGTTCAGTTCTCGGTCAGGGCACATGCCCAGGTTGCGGGCTCCATCCCCAGTGTGGGGCACGCAAGAGGCCCATCCATGATTCTCTCTCATCATTGATGTTTCGTTTTTTTTTTAATACATTTTTATTGATTTCAGAGAGGAAGGGAAAAGGAGAGAGAGAGATGGAAACATCAATGATGAGTGCAGCTGGCATAGCTCAGTGGTTGAACGTCGACCTATGAACAGGAAGGTCACGATTCGATTCCTGGTCAGGGCACATGCCCAGGGTGTGGGCTCGATCCCCAGTGTGGGGCACGCAAGAGGCAGTCCATCCATGATTCTCTCTCATCATTGATGTTTCGTTTTTTTTTTAATACATTTTTATTGATTTCAGAGAGGAAGGGAAAAGGAGAGAGAGAGATGGAAACATCAATGATGAGTGCAGCTGGCATAGCTCAGTGGTTGAACGTCGACCTATGAACAGGAAGGTCACGATTCGATTCCTGGTCAGGGCACATGCCCAGGGTGTGGGCTCGATCCCCAGTGTGGGGCACGCAAGAGGCAGTCCATCCCTGATTCTCTCTCATCATTGAAGTTTCTATCTTTCTCTCCCTCTCCTTTCCTCTCTGAAATCAATAAAAATATATATATTTTAAAACTGAGGGAGGTGAGTTGAGCCATCCCGGCATCAGGGGGGGAGTGAGTTCCAGGTAGCGGGAAGAGCCAGTGCAAAGGCCCTGAGGCAGGAATGTGCCCGGCCTGCTTGGTGGGGGAACCTTAAACCTTTGCTTGTTTCTCTCCCCCTGCCAGGGCAAAGGTGTCTGGGACAAGACCCGGCTGGCTCTGGAGACCGAGGTGTCTGAGCTGCGGGCAGAGCTGAGTAACCTGCAGGCCTCGCGGCAGGAGGGCGAGCAGCGGAGGCGCCGCCTGGAGTCACAGCTACAGGAGGTGCAGGGCCGGGCCGGCGACGGGGAGCGGGCACGTGCGGAGGCTGCGGAGAAGCTGCAGCGAGCCCAGGTGAGCGGGCCCGCGGTGGTCTCTGCTCTGTGACCTTGAGTGAGACCACCTCTCTGGGCTTCTGTTCGGTCCATGTCGGCCCTGTTGTCCGTCCCTTCCAACTTTTCCAACATCATCACGCATGCGTGGCTAGTATTTGGAGAGAGGTTACTACATACCAAACATCCTGTGTATTTCACGGCATCCTCCCGACTCCTCTTTGGAGGCAGTGCTAATCCTGTTCCCACTTTACATACGAGGAAACTGAGGCCCAGGGAGGTGAGCTTGATTGTCTAAAGCAGTGGTTCTCAACCTTCTGGCCCTTTAAATACAGTTCCTCATGTGGTGACCTCACCATAAAATTGTTTTCATTGCTACTTCATAACTGTAATGTTGCTACTCTGATGAATCGTCATGTAAATATCTGATATGCAGGATGGTCTTAGGCGACCCCTGTGAAAGGGTCGTTCGACCGCCAAAGGGGTCGGGACCCACAGGTTGAGAACCGCTGGTCTAAAGTCATTCAGAGCTAGAACTCGAACCCAGGCCTGCTCTTAACCCCTGCCACAGCCCCAGCCTCCACTCTTCTCTTTGGGCCTTAAATGATCCGTGGTCTGATTAGAAGAGGCCACAGTGAATGCCTGGAACTGTGTGAGGACAATACCATGCTGTGACTACGAGGCGAGCAGTGGGCTCTGGGCTTTTTAACTAAATGACCAAAACCTGTTCATTATTGAGGACACAAACAGCAAAAAGAACAGAGGGAAGAATGACCTTAATTCCCCAACACCCCCCCACACACACACAGGGGAAAACACCCCACCGTTACACTTCTTAATTTCCAGATGAAAAGTGAGTATTCATTAGAGTAAAGGTTAGGCTGCTATAACAAAGAGACCCCAGAAATCATCAGCTTGAATAAAATACACATCTTTCCCTCTCCAGGTTCAAACCCTAGCTGGTTTAGCTTCGTGGATAGAGTGTCAGCCTGTGGACTGAAAAGGTCCCTGGTTTGATTCCAGTCAAGGGCACATGCCCGGGTTGCGGGCTCGATCCCCAGTGGGGGGCATGCAGGAGGCAGCCAATCGATGATTCTCTCTCATCATTGATGTTTCTATCTCTCCCTCTTTCTTCCTCTCTGAAATCAATAAAAATATTTTAAAAAGAAAAAGGCCAAGGTAAGCATTTGAGGCTGGCGGGACCCTAGGCTCCATGAGGTCACTCAAGAGCCTGGTCTTCCACTATTCCCTAGGGGGTTGACCTCGTCATCTTCAGAGTGGAATCTGGGTTGTGGGCACATCTGTGCTCCAGCTTAGGAAGGGACAGAATTCGTGTACATCACTTGCTTGCATGTCATTGGCCATACCATAATCACATGCACTGCAAGGGAGGCTGGGAAATGTAGTTTCTAGCTGACAGTCATGGGCCTGGTTAATAGCCAGTCACAATGGGGCCAAGGGAGAATGGATCTGGGGGGACCACGAGGGTCCATCCCAAATGGAACCATGCTATGCAGCCACCACTCTGCCAAGCACTTGGCATATTGCAGGAGTAAAAGTGGCACCAAGAGTCCAGTTTGGTGGCTGAGAGCAGAAGTTCTATCCGGAAGTTTCTTTTTCTTTTCTTTTTAAATATATTTAATTGATTTTTTACAGAGAGGAAGGGAGAGAGATAGAGAGTTAGAAACATCGATGAGAGAGAAACATCGATCAGCTGCCTCCTGCACACCCCCTACTGGGGATGTGCCCGCAACCCAGGTACATGCCCTTGACCGGAATCGAACCTGGGACCCCTCAGTCCGCAGGCCGACGCTCTATCCACTGAGCCAAACTGGTTTCGGCCGGAAGTTTCTTTAGTGTTGGGGATTTTCTGTATTTGTGCTATCCACTCGGCTAGTGAGCCCTTGAATGTGGCCAAGTACAAGCGAGGAGCTGGAGTTTTGCTTTTATTTTATTTTAGTGTAAATGGCTGCATCTGGCTGGTGGCTGCCATCTCGGACAGCACAGCTCCAGGGCCATTCTGCCTGGGCTCAAATCTCAGTTCCACCAGCTGTAGCTGTGTGCTCCCAGGCACCTTTCCTGACCTCTCTGTGCCTCAGCGTTCCTTTATGAAAACTGGGAATAGTAGTGGTATCTGCCTCTGAGGGTTGGTGTGTGAATCCAGTGAGCCAAAAGTTGTAAAGCCCTTAGAATAGTTCCTGGGCATGTTTTGTTTATCCCCTCACCAGTTGATGAATATTTGAGTTGTTTCTACCTTTCTCTATGCTGCTATGAACGTCCCTGTACATGTGTTTGCTTGGACATATGTTTTCATTTCTCTTGGGGCCACACCTTGGAGGGGACTTGCTAGGCAATAGAGAAACTCTGTGTTTAACTGTTGTAGGAACTGCCAGGCTGTTTTCCACAGTGGCTGTGCCAGTCACATTCCCACCAGCCATGTGGTAGGGATGGGAGGTGGAGGAGCCGCTGGGGTCGGCTGGGTGGAAGCCCACCTTTCCTGACCTCTCTGTGCCTCAGCGTTCCTTTATGAAAACTGGGAATAGTAGTGGTATCTGCCTCTGAGGGTTGGTGTGTGAATCCAGTGAGCCAAAAGTTGTAAAGCCCTTAGAATAGTTCCTGGGCATGTTTTGTTTATCCCCTCACCAGTTGATGAATATTTGAGTTGTTTCTACCTTTCTCTATGCTGCTATGAACGTCCCTGTACATGTGTTTGCTTGGACATATGTTTTCATTTCTCTTGGGCCATACCTCGGAGCGGAATTGCTAGGCAATAGAGAAACTCTGTGTTTAACTGTTGGAGGAACTGCCAGGCTGTTTTCCACAGTGGCTGTGCCAGTCACATTCCCACCAGCCGTGTGGTAGGGATGGGAGGTGGAGGAGCCGCTGGGGTCAGCTGGGTGGAAGCCGCCATTGGAAGGTGCCCCTTTCCCACAGGTTGAACTCGAGAACGTGTCTGGGGCACTGAGTGAGGCCGAGTCCAGAGCCATCAGGCTGAGCAAGGAGCTGAGCAGCACAGAGGCCCAGCTGCACGATGCCCAGGTGACCTCTCCCCCCCACCAGCCCCACCCCTGTACCCAGCCCCTCCCACCTTTCTGCCCACACCTATCTCCATTCTCCCCTTCATCTACAGGAGCTTCTGCAGGAGGAGACCAGGGCAAAGCTGGCCTTGGGGTCCCGGGTGCGAGCCTTGGAGGCTGACGTGTCCGGGCTACGGGAGCAGCTGGAGGAGGAGGCGGCCGCCAGGGGGCGGGCCGGCCGTGAGCTGCAGACCGCCCAGGTCCAGGTGAGAAGTCCTGGGGGGAGACCAGGGGACACTTAGTCCCCCAACCTGCTCCTGCTGGTTCCCTGGCTCAGAGACGGCCCCGTTATCCGACCAGTCAGAGCCCAGACTTCTGGGTGCCAATCCCGCCTCTGACTGTCACTCAGCCACACGACCCGTCAGTGCAGAGCCCTGACTTTCTGTCTTATCGCCCACTTTCCGTCTACACCGCCCCAGCCTGCTGAGGCCTCGTTCCCTGCCCCCCCGGATCCTCCTCTCAGCCTCCCTTCACGCCCCCCTGCCTCCAGTCTCTCCTCTCTCTTCCGGCTCATTCTCCACACGGTCTTCCTGCCCCAGAGCTGGCCCTGCCCTCCCCTTGCTGACAGCCCGGCCATGGCTCCCGGCTCCCCTGGACAAAGCGCATGCCTCTTAGCCGGGCATCAGAGACCCTGCATTCTCTGGTCCTCCCCTTTGTCTTTGGCTGCATTCCTCTCTCCTCTCCTTCCCCACTTCACTTGGGAAACCCGTTTCATTCTTCAGGACTCAGCGTCAGCGCCCCCTATCGTGGGAAGTCCCTGGCCACCCTCCTCTGAGCTCCCACAACCCTTCTTTCTCCCCGTTCCCACCCAATCACCCTGGGCTGGAACACTCTCTGCCCATGAGTCCCCCCACCACCAAATGGGGATCTCCTTTAAAGGAGGACACTGAGTTCAATCTGGTCCCCAACGTGGGCCAACAGAGAGCCTGATTTATGGGAGGCCTTAAGCAATGCCTGCTGAATGAATGGAGTGCATGCCTGCAAATGTCCTCCTTCAACTGGCAAACCCCTGTGTATACTCTAAGATCCATTGCAAATGCCCCCTCCTCCAGGAAGTCTCCCTTAAATGTTCTAAACAGATGCTGAGGACTCCCCTGGCTCCCATACCTTAGCCTCCATCACCCTGGCTGCGACACTCAGTTCTCTCCATCAGACTGGGGGTTCCCCAGGGCAGAGCCCGGGTCTGACTCACCATCTTGGTCCCAGAGGGAATAGTTTTAATTTCCTGGGAAAGCTGAGGGTCGTAGAACTCACAACCTCAATCCTCCTCCAGTGCAGTGAGCCATTTCCCTCTTCAGGCCTCAGTCTCCTCATCTGGGAAATGGGGCGCTACCAGCTCACACCTCGGTCACAGCCATGACTGCCACCCACCCTCTCTCTCCCCCCCACCCCCCACCCCAGCTCTCAGAGTGGCGGCGGCGCCAGGAGGAGGAGGCAGGGGCACTGGAGGGGCGAGGAGG